CCACATAGTCACAACAACAGGAAAAGGATCTCTAACCCACCGTCTGTCATTATTGTCCAAACATGTGCTGGCTTGGGCATTTAATTTACAGAGACACAGTCTCTGTGGCCTAGAACTTTATGAACTAGGAATTCACAATGTCTTTTTATCCTATTGCACGAGAATCTACCTGTAGATGCCCTAATTATTAAATCCACACTAATACACTAACACTGGTCATTAGCCAGTTCCATTTTACTTCCCATCCTTTTGACTCCTGACTTCTGTTACTCCACAATTTAAGGAGATTTGTGAGAGTAAGAAGAGCATATAGATAGAAACAAAATGCTACATATTTTTAAATACAAAATGCCATGAGATAACATAAACTGAGTTGAGAGCACAAAATGTAGTATTCTAATCATGTGAGAAAGGATTTTTTAAAAAATGTCCTCATAAATCAAATTAGATGCCAAATAAACAGGAAGTGAGAAGAGAAATTTTATCTGGGTGAATAATGGTAAGCAACAATGTAGGTTAAAGCCAGGGAGAGAAAGGAATGAGGATTTTCATTTATAAAATGTTAAAAGGTAGACTTTGGATCTGTTAAAGCAAAATCTGCTTTCCTAAATATTATTTCTGTTCTCACAACTCAGCAAAATAAAACAAATTAGAGAAATATCGAGTAAACCAAGCCACTGCTATCTAAATCACTCTTTGCTGAAATCAAAGCCCACATTTTAAGTCATAAACTGGTAACACTGGGTAGCTTAAGTGCTGGATAAAGACAATGCAAGGGGAGAACAAGTTCCCTAAATCAGAGTCGTCTGAATCTGAATCAGGGAGGGGCACCTGGAGCCATTTATTCTCCCACTGACCAGGTTCAATTTCACAGCTCATCTGGATTTCATTAGATGCCAGGCTTGCTTGGAAATTTGCAATTGCTTTAATTTTCTATTTCACTTTGTGAACATGAAGCCCAGTCCTTCCTTGAAGAAATATTGAAACAATCTGTCTTTAAAGTAATATACAGTCTGAAAGTGACTTGCTAACCAATTAATCTTTGATATGATAAAAAGAGGTTGACTAATGACATTTCCCTTTATCTGATCCCATTGTGAATGCGACTCCATTACAAACTTCTATGGTTTCCTTTTGAACAAGTCAAATGGGAGTTATATAAAAATTGATGTTGCTTAAATTTCAAATGTAATAAATATTTGCAAGTACATATTGAATATCTCTACCTTGTTCCTGTCTTTTGGAATGGAAATTCTTCAGCTTTGTGTTCTTAGACATAATATGAGGGTTATAAAAAAAATGAGAACATGTGTGATTTCAGTTTTCAGATGAAAATACTACATATATTCAAAACACTTGATTCTCCTTATCAGGCCATGACCATGAGAAAAACCCTAAACCATTATCATTATACTACATCACAGCTGAGGTATTTTGATTCTACACTGTCCTCTGAAGACCCCGGTGTTAAAGGTGTACTCAGCTTTACTGTATGAGAAATATTATAACCTGTCAGCATTTGGCTTTCTGATAAGTCTCAGGTAACTGAAGTAGTTTCCTACGTAGGGACTGGTTCTGATGCTTTGATGGGGAATCTGCATATGAATACTGAAGGTTGTGCTCCCCAATTGGTTTTTGATCAATCAATCAATAAAGATGCTAGAGGGCAATGAGCTGGGAAAAACAGACAGGACTTCCAGTTTTCCCACAGGTAGGCTGACAGAAAAGATTCGCCATGCTTCGAACGAAGAAGAGTCACCAGCCATGTGAGATCTCAGGTGGAGTGGCTGTTGGTCACTTTCCCAATTGGGCCTAGGGTAGCAGGCAGGAGAGGAGAAACATAATTAAGCTGATGGCAGATTTAGGGTGCTGAGCTAGGACTAAAGGTAACTGAGCAACCAAAGTTGAAGGCAGATTCAGTGGTGTTGATCTTGGAATAAAAAGAAGGGAGCAATACCCAAGGCATGCTTCGAAGAGCCCAGGCACTGAGCTAAAACATATAAAAAAATAAGCTAATGTGTGTGTGCGTGTGTGTGTGCATGTGCATGTGCGTGTGTGTCTTTCATCCATGTATCTGAGGGAACCTGGACTGTACTGGTAGCATGGTTAGACCTGAGCTTAAAGCTGGGTAGTAGGAACTACATGCTACAGTCCTCAAACAGGATTATGATAGGCTTATCTTCCTGTCTCCTTTTTTGCATCCCAGCTATGAGTTGTCCATGTGTATCCTGGTATGTCTTCAACCATGACATGTCCATCACCACAGGCCAAGAAGCAATTCAACAAATTCACAATGGACTGAAATCTATAAAAATGGGAGCCAAAGAAAACTTTTTCTCTTTTTAATCTGGTCACTGTAGTCGTTTTGTCCTTAGTGATAGAAAGCTGTCTGACACACAAAATAAAGACTGGAGAAAGCTAATTAAACATTTACTGTGCATCTTCCTGGGGTATGGAAGTGTCTAATAAAATTAACCTTCTTATTTTTATGTGCCCTAAGAAAGATGCTGTTATTTTCATTTAATTGTCAATTTGATAAACAAGATGAAAGATAAAATAATATTTAAATGATGCATTAATGGAAATATTCAAACAAATACATTCTGAATGAAGCTTTATAACAACTTTCTAGTATTATGAACATAGAAAACTGCAATGGAAATACAAAGCATTATGAGACTAGGAAAGACTGAAGCCAGTGAATATTTTCTCCTTGGTTTAGTTATACTTCTAACAAGGGTGGTTAATAAAAATAGGATTATCTCCCAGAAAACATACAGAAGCAGGTTTCCAAGTCCTAGTTTGAGATTTAATATCTTCTTTATATGCCACAATAACTTATCAATACCTTGAGGGAAATGAAAGAGGAGATGACTGTATGGCGATAAATTTTTATAAAAACATCTCTTGTGTTTTAAGAGACTGACATTTTTCCTGGACCTCACAGCCAGAGTTAATAATACACCATGAGATCACTTAAGATTTAAGACTGCTATTCCACTGGGTTCTCAGTTGTTGGTTTAACCTGCCATTAGGAGACCAATGGAACCACCAGCCTTACCTGCCTTGGATTCCCCTGTGTTATCAGCTCTACCGCCTAAGCTAATGACTAATTTTAATTTTAAATTATGTACTCATCTATGTCCCTGACCAGAGAGCAATGCATTTGTGTATGTGTGGGTGCTATGGTAATAATTTGCTGAAAACAGCAGACTGGGTGAAATTGACTTTATCCAGCAAATATCTACCATAAATATTGGAAAAAGCATATAGAAGATGCTTGATAACACAATGCTTGCAGTACTCAGTTCTTTGGGGTCAGTAAAAGTAAATAACTTAATCCCTTGTTTAAAAAACAACTTTAAAGGTTTCCAGAAAGCATTCTTCATTCCTCTCAGATGTGGTAGTCTCTCTGCTGTCCAATAACCAGAGAACAAAGCTTTTGTTAGGGACACATTCAGATCAAACACAGGCAGGTTACAGATAAGCCAGCTACAAACTACAGACAGATGAAGAGCATAGGGAGAAATGGAGAATTCACACTTGGACTCGCGATTGGGCAAATGAAACCAAGAGGAAGTCTGTGATTTTATTCCTTAATTTGTCATGGAGGACACAGAGACATGTGATTGTGAGAAGGTTTACAGAACATGAGAACACCATGACTCCAAATGCTGCCCAGTAATTATAAAGCAACAGGCATAATTATCTCACGGTAAAAGACCATGGAAAACAAAATACTCTTAGCTCCATCTTGGGAGTAATATTGTTCCATCCTGAAACCTTAGCTTATGATGCAGCAGAGGGTTGAGACCCACTCTCCCCTGCTTTCCCAAGGGGTTACCAGAAAGCCTGTACATTCATCAACCCTAAGTCAATTATTTTCTAATAATTGTTTTGGCAGAAGGTGGAAATAATGTGACTATATTCACCTACTTAATGAACTCAAGACATCTAGCATACAGATGTGTCAACATCAGGTCTGATGGAAGAAAAATACCAATTTCTGGAATATTTTACTTTACAGGATAAATCAGATTATTAGTCAATTAGGAGTTAAAATCAGGCTTGCATTCATCGCCAGCAGAGAATAATTGAGGAGAAGTTGAAATCAGTATGTGGAAGGCCTTTTGAATATGTTTCTCTTTGTTTTGTTTTGTTTTGTTTTGTTTTGTTTTGTTTTGTTTTGTTTTGTTTTGTTTTTCGAGACAGAGTTTCTCTGTGTAGCCCTGGCTGTCCTGGAACTCACTCTGTAGACGAGGCTGGCCTGGAACTCAGAAATCCTCCTGCCTCTGCCTCCCAAGTGCTGGGATTAAAGGCGTGAGTCACCACTGCCCAGCTTATGTTTCTCTTTCTTACTTCCCTTTGCAATGCTGGGGTCAAGCCAGAGTCTTGGTCATAAAGAGAAAATTGTTTTTCCAATGGCTGTAAATCTAGAATATAAGGAATAACAATCTTTCTAAACAGGAGTTTGATGATGGGCTAACTCTATAATACTTCCGGTTTACAGACCAGAAGTGGCCCGACTCAGGGCAGTGATACCTGAAACATCCCTAGTAAGGAATCTACAGAAAGAGCAGTTCCCTGTAAAGCCACAGCAGGTCACCAGAGCAAAGCCATATTGTCCCCTGAGCCCCCAGAGTCCTCTTCCCTGCCTCCGAGGCAGAGCCACTCTGTTGATGCTAAAAAGGGGCTGAAAGCATTCAGGCCTGGGATGCTGTGAGCTGAAGAGCTGCTGAAGATGCTGATGTTTAGCTCTCAGCCTTGCCAGCACCAGCTAGAGGAGCAGCTGCAAGTTTTCTAGGGTTTTTAAACAACTCCTTTCCTTCAGCAAGAGAGATTTGTTGTTTCCCTGCCAGACTCCTGCTACATTTGTCTGTTTATTAGCTTAGCTGCACATTCTGTCTGATAGCCAAGATCGTCATGGAGATAGCCACTTGTTTGCAATCTGTGTTTAAATAAATTAGCTCCCAATTATCAGCTACATATCTTTATTTCAGGTAGAAACTCTGACATCACGAAAGACAGACCACTCTTCGTGGAGCAAATCACAGAGAATAAGAATGACTGGCACACAAGATGAAAGGAACATTGCAGGACCATTTCTCAAATGAAAGGAAAAAGAAATCTATTGTAAAATGGATGTTATTTTCACAGTTTGCCTCCCTTCCTCCATCTCTCCCTCCCCATCTCTATCTCCTCCCCCTTCTCTCTCTCTCTCTCTCTCTCTCTCTCTCTCTCTCTCTCTCTCTCCCTCCCTCCCTCCCTCCCTCCCTCCCTCCCTCCTCTCTTTCTCTCCCTCCCTGTAAACAAGATTGTTGGGAACCCAGATCTACATTTTTATATCAACTTAGCACCACATGAGCCTGCAGAGCAAAAAGAGAAAAAAAAAAAAAGCTGTCAGCAAACTGCTTAGAAAGACAGCAAGATTTAGACTAGCAGTAGAATGGATCGGATCGGTTCGTAGAGACAAAGGACAAGTTCTCTAAAAACGTGGAGCACAAGCATCAATAGCATCAATAGCTTTTTAAAATATTCAATAATTTGTTATATAGCAATAAAATGTCTTTGAAGAAAAATGCATGGGGAATAAAAGGGAATACAGAAATCAATGTGATGTTTTGAAGTGTTTCCATAAATGTTACACCCTCATTAACACTTTATCACTACTTTACAAATAGCGAAATAAGCATATTACTCACAAGCCATTGAGGGTCAAGCACGAGGAGAGCTCGTGTGATGCAAACATTGGTTAGGTACCCTGCTATTGGAAACCGTTCTGACAACACTGAAGTTGTTTAAGAATACCTTTTCCACTTTTATTTTTTAAGATTTAAGAGAGCTAAAATGTTAATGCTTACAAAATTATGATTTTACTTTACAAGATTAAATTTGCATTTCTTGTTGCAGAGCATTTTATAGACCTTCTCAATCTAAGCTCCAAGTCCAGGATGCAAAGAAGAGCCTGAGACTTCCCAGATTATATTTCTACTGTCCCAACTGTTTCTTCTTTAGGCTTTCCTAATAGGAAACCTTCTGTAAACACTGAGAGATGTCCTTCCTCTCTCTCTCTCTCTCTCTCTCTCTCTCTCTCTCTCTCTCTCTCTCTCTCTCTCTCTCTCTCTCTCTCTCTCTCTCTGTATCACCCTACCGGCTGTCCTCCCTGAAGTAGCACTAGGACCACCTGGCAGTGTTTCCAGCACTGCAGCCCGATTCGAAACCTGCTGGGGCCATCAAGGGCCAGCCTGTCCTGCTCCCTGTGTGGAGTACCTGGTCTCAAGCCTCAGCTAGGATTAATGCTCACAATCACTGGGTGACAGTTAAAGCCAACTCCACTGGTCATTTTCTTCAAAAGTCCATGTATTAATAGTGTTTCCTGTTGTCTTCCTAGATCTACAGGAAGAAGCTACCTCCTGTTGCCTGGCACTTCAGTGACAATTTAGAGGGCTCTTTTGACAACTTCTAGAGCCATAGTAGCTTCTGGCCTAATAAGTGATTCCTTTAAATACTGTATTCAGATAAGTTGCATGGGTTGTCTTCTGCCTGGGCCCTGGGAAATTTGATAACTCTCTGAGACAGTTAGAGTAGTTGGCACTGTCTTTACTTCACATATGCAACAATTGGTTAACCTTTTAGTATACCTTTGGTTGGAAGAAACTCTGGGACTTGAACTCAGGATTCAAGCTTCAGTGTCAGTAACATTCCTGCAGAGATTCCTTGCACCTATAACGTGTGCAAAGTACTTTTATATTTACACTGACAATCAAAACCTGTAGGAAGTTAGAAGACAGCCTGAAAAACATGGATATTTAGAACAGAGCTTCTGTATTATGCAAATCCTAAGCTAATAATTCACATCAAGATTCTCCAGCTGCAATCACTCCTGACAAAAGGTTGAGATATATACCCATTAAAGCAGCAATGCCCACAGAAAGGGCTCTTGTTGAAACACATCCTAACCAAAGTATATGTTTATTTTTCCTTTAAAACTCAAAAAGCAAAATCCCAGTGAAATGTATTCTCTCCCATCCCTGCATTGCCAGGCACTCTTAAACATGCACAAAGAGCAAGAAAGTGACCAGGAAAAATGGAAGGAGACTCTCCTTCCTGAAAGGGTACTCAGTCCAGTTTTCCAGACAGGGGTTTCCTTACTCTGGTTGGCCAAGCAATATAGTTCTCTTTTTTCTTGTCTGTTCAGTGACTCTGCTTTTAAAAGCTGCTTTGTGTGCTTATAAATTACAGGAATTCCTGCACAGCACAATGGGAGACAATGGCCAAAACCTAATCAAGTTGATGAAAGTGTCACAAATACTCCCCCAGTGGCCCTTGGCAACGAATGACCGGAAGACAACCAAAGAAAGTGAAAGCAGAGACATGAGCCCTTTTTCTTCTTTCCACAACATCAGAACTGACACAGAGGGAAAATAAAGTTGCAATTATATTTGTATTGCTTATGCTGTATGAATATGTTAAGACATGTTTTGTATGCTATGAATACAAATTTTTATTTTAAAATCTTATGTGTGCATATATTAGCATATGTATATACACTATACCATGCATTTTTCCAACCATATGCCTATGACTCACCAATAATTGAACCAATTTATCTTTTAAACATTTATTTAGTTTATGTATGTACATAGGGATGCCTGTGCCATGGCTCCGATACGAAGGTCAGAGGATAAATTATGAGAGTTTGTTCCCTTCTTTGACCATGTAGGATCTAGGGATTGAACTCAGGCTATTGAACTTGGTGGCTAGCGCATTTGCAGGCTGAGTCATCTTGCCTACCCCAGTAAGTGGGGAAATCTGTATCCTACTTCAATGCAATCAGACTGAAACTCCCTTTTGGTGGCTAATGGCACACAACAGACAGAAATCAAAAGAAGATACAAAACGAAACAAACGTTTCTGCTTTTCTTCTTTATTTGTTCACAATGAGATGACTCTGACAGAGTAAACTGATTTTATAACACCAATATTATCAGAATTTATTGTTGAGAGATGAGCAGCAAATGAAAGCCTCCAAGGCGCCCCTGTGTACTTGCAAATGTAATCTGCTGCCAGAAAGCCGGTTCTCACAACAGTCATGGGCTCAGTTGTGCATGGAAGCTTTTGCTGACAAGCAGCCTATTGAGTTATGAATGTGCTGTCTGAGAAATCCATAGGATGATGTCTCCCCATCACTCAGATAATTAAACTTTATCACTCCACTTTAGAGAGCTCCTGTACTTTGAATCACTAACGCTCAGAGTTCTACCCAAGAACACACATTAATAACTTAAGAGTGGAGACAGGAGAGATGGCTCATTGATAAAGTATATGCTGCAGAAGCATAGGGACCTGAGTGCAGATCCCCAGGACTCACGTAATAATATCTGTATGAGAATTCATGACTGTAACTCCAGTGGAGAAAGAAGGCTGAACAGACAGATCACTGCACCTCATCTGAGAGGCCATAATTGATATGCTTCAGGTTCAGTGAGAGACTTTCAAATCATCAAGGGGTAAAGACACTAGACATTGACTTCTGGCATCCACAAGCTCACATGTACACACACACACACACACACACAAACACACACACACACACACAAACACAAACTCACACACACACACATACACACACACTGCTACTTCTACTACTAAATACTAAATTGTTAAGCATAATAGAAACAACATGTGTCTTTAGTATTTTATGAAAGTGGTGCAGCTGTGAACATTCTAGCGTTATTCTTCCAAAGTTGCGAGGGTATTAAATAGAGTTCACAGTAACATATTTTCATGACATTATCAAGGCTGAAAACACTAGGGTTGCTATAGTTCAGCGTCTTTAATCTGCAAGTGTGTTTTAGCCTCTAGGGGGAGCTCCATGCTCTTCTCCTTCCTGTTCTGAAGGACAGTGCAGGAGAGAGAGAGAGAGAGAGAAAGAGAGAGAGAGAGGGAGGGAGGGAGGGAGGGGGGAGGGAGGGAGGGAGGGAGGGAGGGAGGGAGGGAGAAAGTGAGAGAGAGAAATTGAGAGAGAGAGAGAGAGAGAGGGAGAGAGAGATTGAGAGAACGAGGGGGGGGAGTGTTTACCTAACTGGTCAGATGTTATAACACTGTAGGGACTGTGTTTGCTGGACTAGGCCTTTTGTGGCATTAAGAGATCAATACAGCAGCTATGGATCACAGTCTTCATTCCTTTCAAGTAGCAACTATACTTAACCAGCACCCCCTCACCCCCATTCTCTCTCTGCCTCTCTCTAGTACACACACACACACACACACACACACACACACACACGTAGATACTTTGGGCATTTCTGGTGAACTTGCCATGACATTTAAATATACCAGTTTTAGTTTTTTTCTCTATTAATATGTGATGATTTGTAAACTTCATTGAGTATCATCAACCAGTTTTGTGACTTCAAGTGCATTTCCTTTCTCTCAAAATCCTACTTTCCTTGCTAGATGGTTTTTTAGTGTGTCTCTAACTACAAAACTCTGTGCATCTCTACTTGCAATAATTTATTGTCAATGAAATTTCTTGCCAGGCAGTGGTGGCGCACACCTTTAATCCCAGCACTTGGGAGGCAGAGGCGGCCGGATTTCTGAGTTCGAGGCCAGCCTGGTCTACAGAGTGAGTTCCAGAACAGCCAGGGCTATACAGAGAAACCTTGTCTCGAAAAAACAAAACAAAAAAATTCTTTCCAAATGAAATTTTATTCAATAAGTTAAGTCATTTCTCCACTGTGTGATTTAATTAGTGTATTGTACCTAAGGTCACAAGAGCAAAAAACTAAACCCTACAGTAAGCATGTAAGAACTCAAGAAAGATGTATCTGGTTTTTCAGAATCCCCAAATCATGTAAATAGAAATCTCACCAGCAAAATCACATCTGCTAAATGTACTCTGGCATACTGTTCACCATGTGCCACAAGCCTCCTCAGAGCCGTGGGACTTGGGCTCAGCAAATATGGACACTGATTCTTACACCTACAAACTCATAGAGTGCTCAGGTACCTTGCATAAATCACTGTCCTCCTGAGCCAGCTGCAGATCTGCTTGCAAATATTCAATGTGGTAACCAGGCATATGTTTGGAAGGCACAGATTATCCTTGCAAAAATAGGAACAGGACTTTCAAAACACACACACACACACACACACACACACACACAGAGAGAGAGAGAGAGAGAGGATTCCTTGT